AAAACCCCAAAACCCCAAAAGGAAGGATTTAACAAATTTAGAGTGTTTTAAAATAAGATTAGTAGAAAATTATTAATGCACAGAAATAAGCTTATAATAATAGTTCATTGAGTTTCAAGCTTTAGTCATCTCGTGAGTAATCATTCTCATTATGTGTCTACTTGTTCAAGCACTCTTCCAGCTCTGGGATCCTTTTGAATTCTCTCTATTGCTTTCTAAGTAAGTTTCTTTTGTCTGTGGGTTCCACTAAGACCATAATCAACTGCAGCTTGGAATGTTTTCTCATTTGGCATGCCTGAACGTGGACTCTTGGCGTTTATGCCTTTGCCACTTGCAGCACGTCCTATTTTAGAGTTAATATTTACTATAGATAATTACTTGAGTTTCCTCTTGAGGCTGGAGTAAGATCTAATGAGTCTACATCTCCTTCTTCGTCTTCCTTCTCTTGCAAGTTATTCATCTTTTTCAGCTCCTACTCAGCATAGGTGCTGATAAACTCTTCGATGACCATGTAACCTCCTCCAACACGGATAACTAACTTGCCATTCAAAATCTTAGCATAGATCTTCCTTGTACCGAAGATATAGTAACCATTTCCAAGTTTCTTAATAGGAACTGGACAATTAGCTTGATGAATGTATTAGCCAAGCATTTCATCAAGTAAATCACCCTTAGGCAGAGTGAAAACTGGCTTTTATACCACTGGCTGTTGATTTAAAGCTTTCAGTTGTGCCTCCAATTAAGCGATGATTCTTTCCTTCTAAGCAAGTAAGTTCTCCATCTCCTGAATCTCTTCGTCTCTCTTGCCTACTAATGCTTCTAACTCCGACACTCTTTCACTTAAGATGTCTCTTTCCTCTTCGAGTCTGGCAATTTCCTGTCTGTACTTGTCGATGTGCTTGTTCAAGTCCTTGACTTTATAGTGGAGTCTCTCTAGCTCCTTCATATAGTCATTCTTTTCACGTCTTATGACATCTAAAAGATTGAGCTGTTCATTCATCTTGTTGAGTCTCTCTTCAAGAGCTGAGTTGATTTTATTTATTTCACTTTCAATGTCACGCTTCTACTTCTGCACATCCTTGATCAATTCATCGTAGTCTTTGCTTTCCTTTCTGTAGATTTCGATCAGATCTCCTCTTTCAACGTTCTCATGTTGTTGCTTCATTAAGTTCTCTCTTTGACTGTGATATTTAGTCTCAAGAAGAGACTTTTACTTGAGATCACCCATGAGTGCCTTGATTCTAAGAATTTGTTCCTAGCTCTACTTTGCTCTCTCGTCCTGTTCCTTAACAAACAGTCTGAGTTTGCATTCCCACTAGGTACCTACAAATTCAAGTTGATACTACACATCTTTTCTGATGACCTCGGCATTCCTGAGTTGGTTCTCAAGTCCCTCAATTTTGATTTCATACTGCTCTGCTTAGATCTTGGCGTTTCCAGTCTCAAGTCTTCTAAGTTCTTCTAGCTTCAGCATGGCCTCCTTCCTCATCTTCTCAAGGTCTTTCTTCGCTTGATCAAGTTCAGCATTCAGTCTTCTAAGTTCCTTTTCCTGAGCCCCACTTGCTTGCTCAAGATCTCTGGAAAGCTTGGACTGCTTATCGTTGAAGAATTTAATCTTCTTTTGGGCCTGTTCAACCAAAATAGAGTAATGGTTGACCTTGAAGTCCTGATCAAATGTCAGTGACTTAAGCTTCAAGTTCTCAGAGGTGGCTACATCCAAATCTCCCTCTAACGTGTTAACTTTATCCTGCAATACTTGTCTATCACGATCTTGATCTCTGAGTTGTCTATCGTATTGTTATCTTTGCTTTCCAAACTGATTTTCCATGTCGTCAAACTTCTGTAATGCTTTATCTTTGCCAGAATATTCTTGCTAAGCTTCTTAATCAATGCCTCCTAGTTTCTGTCTATTCTCCTTGATCTACTTGTCAATACTAGCAGTCTCTGGATTGCTGGACTATCCACTTCTAAGATTTTCTTGATCTTGTTTACGTGTCTACTGCACTTGCTGCTTCAACTTCTGGTTATCATTTTTACTTTAAGCCAAATCGTTTTAAAGTTTCTAAAGGGTTTCTTCTAATTGCTTTAATTAAGATTCATATTTCTTCTTTTCATCCTGATTTTCCTTCTCAATTGCCTCGAAATTAGCCTATGCTCTTTATTTCAACTTGTCTGTTTAATCCAAAGATAGCTTTACATTCTAGAAATCCTCAGCTAAAGTTTTCTGCATATGTTCGACCTTATCAAGTTGTCTCATATTTCTATTCTCATCATTAATTAGCAATCTCTCACTTTTCTTCAGATTATTCACAACTATAGCAACCTTGTATGACACATCGGTCTTCATCTCCTCCAAGTCGTACTTTTTGATCTCCTGGTTAATCTAAGCTAGTTAGTAGTCCTTTTCCTTCTTGAACTCAGCTTTACTAAGAGCTGGCACTTGGTTAGAGCCACTGGTGCCTGCTGGATTGCTATTGTTGTTATTACCGGCGTTAGTTCCGTTATAAGCGGTCACATTGGTGGTTTGCTTATTATTAGTTGGAGGTGCTCCCTTGCCAGAGCCTGGTCTGCCACTACTGCTGCGGTTATTAGCAGTCGAAGGGTTGAAGTTAGTGCCTGCTTTTTGCTAAATTGAAGTCTGAACTTTTGAAGTAAGGGCATTCGATGAAACACCAACAGTACTGGTTTTAGCAGTTGGGCCAACTGAGGAATCCTTCTTAGTTGCAGTTGGCTTTGTGATTTACTTGCCTGTTGAGACATCTGAAGATCTGTCCCTTCTCTACTAGGTATCTATCTCTTCAACTATAAACTCCAATTGTACTCTTGGTACTTCCTCATCATCTTCCTGCAAAATACCATCATAAATGTCATCATCAGGGTGATCGAAAAGGGTAATCCACTGAACATATGATTTGCCTAACTGAATATCAGCTGCGTGTCCAAAGTAATTATCAAGCAAGAAAGTAACTGAGCCATGACGATCCTCATCCTCCCCTAGATTCTTTGCTACTAATACTAATTTCTCTGGTGAATTCTTCTTAATAGGCACTTTCAAACGAGATTAATCTGATAATACTAGCACATCAAGCAATTTCTTGCCTAAGTGAAAGTAAAAACCTACAGTTGACTTATTCACGTGGAAGTCTAAAAATTCTGCGTCTACTATTTAGATGCTAAGTTGACCTATAAGAAAGATATTTAAGTAATTGTTATAGTTTTCTTGAAAAAGTAGGTTGAAAAATGAGTATGAAAATGAAATTGTTAACTTACGTTCGATAGTTGCCATAATTTAAATTCTTGTAATAAAAGAGTTACTTATCAAATAAATTTCAAATTATTCTATTAATTTTCATAACTCTATGCTTGTAGATTGGGGTTTTGGGATTGGGGTTTTGGGGTTTTGGGG